CTGACTTATGAATGAATCAACTGACTCAATCAACCGCAGAGAGAGCGGAAGATTGTTCCAGAGCTTAGGCCCAACAGCCTGGAAGGACCGGTCTCCCCTGGTCCGAAAGCGCATGCATGGGACCATCAACAGGTTCTGATCCACAGACCTCAGGGCCCGAGTGGGGGTATAAGGCTGAATCAGATAGGCAAAGTGGGTTATGTGTCTTGCCCAAGGACACAACAACAGCAGACATCAGTGGGAGTTGGTGGATAAGGTCTTGAGGTGGGCTCGAACCCACGACCTCAGACTCAAAGGCCAATGCTCTACCAACTGAGCCACTAAAATCCTGGAGTTTTAAAACATTTATACGAAGAAGATTCCTTTCAATAGTAGTATTTTCACAAACATGCAAGATACTATGTTTCATTCTTTACTGATTGAGCTCTGGATCAGACACTTCTGTTTCCGTGAGAGTAACATACAGTGTGGCGTACTGGCTCAGTGAGTTTAGGAGCAGTCTTGTCTCAGATTCATTTCAGATTTATTATTATTATTATTTCAACACAACAGACACATCAACATTCAACAAGATTTATTCCCACAGTTCCACAGTGTGAATTGAGAGTTTCCTGGATCTCAATGAACGATGCTTCTTTGGTTAGTGTGGAAAATTAACGTACAGAGACGGGGATTGTTGCCGCACCAGAGCACCTGGAAGTTTAGTGTCAGTTTCTTTCGGGCCGATGGGGGTGGACCCGGGGAATTAGCCGACGCTAACAAATAGCATTAGCCGACCTCTCGAAAACGTCTTTACAGGATGGTCCAAAAGTTGGCTCTTGGCCCAAAGCTCCGTTCCACATGTGTGTCAATGCTGAGGGGGTGTTCTGGACCAGTCTAGTTTAGGCCCTGTCCACACGAAGTCAAGCTCAGGCCTAAACGCAAAAATACTTTATCAATCCAGTGTATCGTCCATACGAGGCCGGCGTTTTGGGGGGGTGTAAACGAACATTTTTGAAAGTAGGTCCCAGAGTGGAAAGATTTCAAAACTCCGTATATGCCGCTCCGTGGTTACTGCCTCTCCGCAATGTATCTGAGACGCTTGCGTCATCGTCCCGCCTCTTGTTAAAGCACGCATGCGCCGCACTCAGAAAATAATGACAACAACAATGTAGCTTGTTGGTTTTGTAATCCAGTGTGACCCGAAGCAACAGTTCAACCTCATCGTCCGTCCATACTAATGTAGTACCAGCTCGCCCACTCGCCATGTTGTCTGTTTACAACATTCCGCGCATGCCCACGGAAGTTTGGGCTTGATCCCGTCATTGCGTCACAGCGCCACCAACAGGTCTGGCATAGTTTCACAGCGTTTTCAGGCGTATTGACTACATTCATATGGACGCACACATTTACTGAGCTAACTCCGTGTTTACAGAAAAAGTTTCTGAAATTATAAGCGTTTTGTCTTCGTGTGGATATAGCCTTAGTCGCTGTGAATTTTTGAAGTCTCTCGTTTAAATGAATGGGGCTCGTGCAGCTGACGCATGCACAGATGCGTTTTTCACATTTTCCAGCCTCCGCGGCCATTTTGAATCACTCCATGAAATTTTTGGCCCATTAGTTAGAACGGCGGAGATAGGCGTGACTACAGTCTATGGTCAGGATATGGTTTTTATAGTCATTTGTTACGTCACACACAGAAAGGCGTACGTGTCGCACCCAGAGACAATCCAGAAATATAAGAGTATATATCTCGGATAACACTGTCCGGGGTCTTGTTGAGTCTTGAGGGCCTGATATTATTTTGCTCTGCGTTTGTCCACCTGCATAGGCCATAGCTGTCCATCCACCATGATAGTTTGGTTTCAGTGGGATTTGAATGACAGCAGATGACTTTTTGCTGAGTTTATTCCACGTGTTTCCACATGTGTGACATCAGCAGTGTCCGATAGTGACCCCCCCCAGCAGCGGGTCACATGCAGACGCACACAGCACTTCAGCAGTAAATAGTGGAAGTGAGCAGAGCCAGTGGTCAGGGGCAGGAAGTGTCCAGGGTTAAAACTCTGCACACACATGGGGCCGCTGCAGACTCAGGACTCATGGACACGCAGGAGGTACTGTACGGCCAGAGCTTTTGTTGTTATTAATGTGCATTTAGGAAAACAAGTCGGTGTTTGAGTGAGGGGAAAGAACGCAACACAAAGGCACACACACACACACACACACACAAACACACACATGCCTCTGTTAAGCACATAGCACTTTATTGAGACTGTCTACATATTTTGCACAATGATGATCAAAGGTTTTGGTTTTTATAAGAAACGTTTGAAAGAAAGTCAATGTTGTTTTCAGTTTAAATGTTGTTAATGTGATAAAGTGTGTGATTTTGAATAGAAAAGCTTAAGTCACATTTTTACACCTTGGCTTTTAACACCGACTGAGCGTTTACCATATATGTTACTTCCTGATGACAAGAGAACAAGGCTAGGTTACTATAGCAACCAAACAGTGTAAAAGTGTAGAAGCATAACAACACGTTTAAAGCAGATACAAAAATAAGTATTCATATAAGTTTGTAATGTTTTTAGCTAAACCCCGGCTGGTGGATTGCATCAGTAATCACACAGGCGGGATTATTCTGGCAACACAAGTGTGAATTGTACTGTAATTGTATTGACTTTATTAGACCAGTATTTGTGCATATTAAATTCTGTCTCTTCAAGTATAGATGTCAGAAATGGGATAATCATGAGGCTGTGGTGTCCATGTAAACAAATGAGGTTATAATTAGAATCGAATCAGAGCCGGGGAGTTATATGATACGATATGTTCAGAAATATCACTGTGTGTATCTTCTGTGGAGACGGTGAAGTCGCCAGAGTCAGACTGAGTCACAACATTTCGTTCATTCTTTTTTATGTGTGTATATTTGTGTCCCGTTTGAATCCGGCTGCAGAACATGGACGTAGGTTACTGTGGGTTACCATGGCAACGTCTTCTCTTAATGGTAGTAAGGTGTACATACAAGCATGAAGTGTAAATATTAGCGTCAGTACTTCCTGTTTTGTCTGAGGTGAGAAATGACTTCACTAAAACCGTTCATGTCTTTCATTTCCCTCCAGTTTGGAACAAATTACTAATTAAAAATATACAAAAAAATACATAGAAGAGTACGCAAGCACGGTGGCTGAGTGGTTAGCACTCTCGCCTCTCAGCAAGAAGGTCCTGGGTACGAATCCCGGTCGGAACAGGGCCTTTCTGAGTGGAGTTTGCGTGTTCTCCCCGTGTTTGCGTAGGTTTCCTCCGGGTGCTCCTGTTTCCGCTACCACTAAAAACATTCACAGTAGGTCTGAATGTAAATGAGAGAGTGAATGGATGGTGTTGGAGCTGATGGTCCAGTGTGTTCTGGACTCGCTTCTGTCATCACCGTGTGTGGAAGGATTGGAACAATATCTGACTCTGAACTTTGTAAAGTGCTTTGGGTCTGACCTTGGTCTGTAAAATGCGCTATATAAATAAACATTACTTACTTACTTACGGCAAGTGTGTGTGTTTTGCCTTTTGTACAGATTTTTTGTGCTGGACCTGTGTGTGTGTGTGTGTGTGTGTGTGTGTGTGTGCGTTGCCAAACTCTGTCTCTCAGTCTGGTCACAAAAAACACAATCCTTTTTTCTATGCGCACTTTTGGGCCGCCATTACTCTGAATATTCCTCCACAGTCAGGGGAAAGATGGCTCCCGAGTGTGGGGTGACTGTAGTTCATGAACGCCTCTGACTTCCTCCTCTGACTCCGCTGTGGCGTGCCCGGCAGTAACTCCACACTGAAGTCTACGTCATTGAAGACATTTGTCATATTTGTTTCCTTTTCTTTTTTAAAATAGTTTCAACATTGTGCTGTACAGGCCTTTCCCTTTGGTTTATGTTTAAACGAGTTTACGGAGCTGTACGAGTCGTCCAACTAGTGCTCAGGCCTTCAGCTGACTGTATTTATACAAGCCATACATCTTCACTCAGGTTTCAGCTTGTGCCGCAACCCCCCTCCTCCCCATCATCATCTCAACAGTGGGTTTCTCTCTCCATGTCACCAACTCATCACTTCATCTTCCAACAATCGACTGGTTATCGGGCGGCACGGTGGCTGAGTGGATAGCACTCTCGCCTCTCAGCAAGAAGGTCCTGGGTTCGAATCCCGGTCGGACCAGGGCCTTTCTGAGTGGAGTTTGCATGTTCTCCCCGTGTCTGCGTAGGTTTCCTCCGGGTACTCCGGTTTCCCCTACCACTAAAAATATGTCCAATAGTTCTAGCATGCGCCTCCTGTACTGGCGACCCCGCTCCCATCTCTGTGTGGAGTGAGAGACAAATGCCCAAAAATTAACAATTGTAAACCGCTTTGAGACTCAGATCTGCAGTGAAAAGGCGGTATATAAATAAAAGATTACTTACTTACTTACTTATAAAAGGAGTGGACTGACCGAGTGCTGATGGGCAAGGGCAAACATGTACATGATTGCTAAGGCAAGCCAGAGTTTCCCGTTTTTTCGAATTTCTGTGTGGAGTTCTCTCTGTGTCTGTGTAGGTTTCCTCCATGTGCTCCGGTTTCCCCTACCACTAAAAACAAATACAATAGGAATGACTGTAATGAGAGAGTGAATTGTTGGTGTGTTCGGCGTCTTGCTTCTGACATTACTGTGTGTGGAGTCAATGAAAAATTACTGGTACAACAGAATTGTAAAGCTCTTTGTGTGACCTTGGTCTGTGAAATGTGCTATAAAGATAAAGATTGTTTACTTACTTGCCACTTATCAATGTGAGTCAATAGTCGCCAGAGACAGTTTGACCAAAACTTTGTTCATGAGCCTTTCTCTATTGGACTTCATCAGGCGGGTTAGCACTGCCCATCTATATACAGTCTATGCTTCCAACAAGATCATCTATATCTAGATTATCTCATTTTTATTTGTGTTATTTTGTGTGTGTGTGTGTGTGTGTGTGTGTGTGTGTGTGTGTGTGTGTGTGTAGGCGTGTAGGGACTTCCTGGAGCTCGCGGAGAGCCACAGCCGGAGATGGCAGAGCGCGGTGCAGTATGAGCGTGAGCAGAGGGTCCACCTGCAGGAGACCATCGAGCAGTTAGCCAATCAGAACAGCAGCCTGGAGCGCGCCTGGAGAGAGGATCCCGCCCCCCACTACCACCCGCTCAGCCGAGGTCTGTGCACCCAGGCCTCATAATGACTCAATACATACTCAACACAAATGAATATGAATTTAGTCAAGACATCCACTAATATTGATGCTCCAGATGAACTAGACTTAGTGAAAATGAGGCCTGTTTTGTAACTTATTCAAGATAAGATCAACTTTATTGATCTCACAAAGGACAACATTTGCATTCAGCTGCGCACATCCGTACTCCCCGCTCAATCATCATTTCACTGCATGTAACGTCTGGGTCTGGTCCCTGGGTTAGCGATTACAATCGGTTGAATTTCGACCGACCAATCAAAGAGCGCGGGAGGCGGGTGTTGTAGTTAGTTGTGGGTGACGTCAAGAGTTTGCGTTGAACGGGCAGGTTGTAGTTTGGCAATGGTGAAAAATGCGATAGTAAAGTAATCCGGTCTGGTTCTATCAAGAAATTGGAGCCGGAGCAAGAGGAATGTTTAGCAAATGTAATCGCTAGAATAAATTGTGGCGCTACTCCCCACGGCCTCTGTTAGCGGCAAAGGAGATGGCTAAAGCTAGGCTAAATGCTAAATGCTAACGACAGACTTGGGCGCACTACATACGTCACGGTAAACTCAGATCCAATGGTTTCAATCTGTAAAAGGAGTTAACCCCTCCCACCTGTAAACGGAGTCAATGGAGCACCTCCAGACATTAGTACGAAATGTCATTTGTACTATGGTGTGGTACGACCAGGCTATGTCAACACCACTCTAAGTATTTCATGAAAATCACTTGCTCCCAGCGACAATTGTCATTTACGTAGTTTTTAAAGCTGACGTATCCAACTTTTAAAAAAGTGCTATGTTATTAAATCCATGTTAATCGTTCCTCGCTCTTAAAACAATTGGTATTTTTGGCCTCATATGTCACATATTTCAATGCAATTTTGCAGACAAAAAAGTCAAAAAGAGGATTTTCTTCACTCAGCCAATTAGCTCTGAGCTCAATGCTCAAAGTTAGTAACTCCCATGACTCTTCCTGCTTTACGTCGGACACTTTCTGTTGGGACAAGCAACATGTATTCTGTCTTTTAACTATTTCTATTCACATTTCTAAGTGACTCCAAACTTTTGAATATCAGTGTCTGACGAGAGCCGACTTCTGTGATCTCCAATATTTCACTGGTTTGAAGACAACTTTAGTTTGAACTGTGCTGGTGCAGAAGGGAGCGAGGGAGCGTCTGCAGAGGCCAGTGAGGAGGATGAGAGCGAGTACTTTGACGCCATGGAGGATTCGCCCGCTTTCATCACCGTGACGACCAGCGACGCCATTTTGAACAGGTACGGGGGACTGACGTGGCTCCGTAGATGTACTTGTGTTGCATATTTTACTGAGTAACAGCTCTCTCACATAAATCTTCTCTTCCAGGAGCAACTCGAGTGAAGCCAGTGGAGTTCACAACGACTGGAGCCAGGACGAGCAGGTACCGTTCTGTTGTGGAGGCCTTTTCTGACTTTTTAAACCAATATATTTCTCCTGTAATATATGGTTCAGTTAAAAATCTTGGCAGGTAATTCAATTATGATGAGATTTGTCATTCCTGCCGACAGTTTTGACCCCAATTCAATTTATTTTTGTACATCCCGAAATACAGATCAGTTAGAACACAGGAAATGCAATAATAACAAACAGCACGGGCGGCACGGTGGCTGAGTGGATAGCACTCTCGCCTCTCAGCAAGAAGGTCCTGGGTTCGAATCCCGGTTGGACCAGGGCCTTTCTGAGTGGAGTTTGTATGTTCTCCCCGTGTCTGCGTAGGTTTCCTCCGGGTGCTCCGGTTTCCCCTACCACTAAAAATATGTACAATAGGTCTGGCATGTGCCTCCTGTACTGGCCCCACTCCCAAAAAAATAACAATTGTGTGGGAGCCAAGTTAAGCTTTGTTAGTTAGATATTTGCATGTTGCATAGTGTATATTAGATTGTGACTAATTTGATTGTTTATTTTGTTATAAATTAGTAATAACGTATTTATTTGCTTAATTAGTATTTTATGTTAATTTAGGAACTACATTTACAACTGCAGATTATAAATTGTAAACCGCTTTGAGACTCCGATGTGCAGGGAAAAGGCGGTATATAAATAAAGATTACAGATTACATACATACACATAGGAGCCATCGCTGAATTTTGATTGGATGAAGAAATGTCCGTAAAAAATTCTAAAATCAAAATCAGTGGGAAAAAGTCAGAAACCTGGAGATGCCCACATTGAGAGAAGGATCCATTCCCACGGACAGACAGGTTATAGAATCCAGAACCTGTATCCAACTGCTAATTTTTCATAACTTTACCCTTTGACAACATTCTGCTTAAAGGACCAAGAATGAGTACAAATAATGAAAAAGAAGTGCCTCTCTCCTGCAGGGCTCTCCAGGCTCTAACCACGTGTCAAAGCAGCCCCCGCGGAGGCAGCGGCGGACACACATCCCCCACAAACCCAACTACTCCCTGAACCTGTGGAGCATCATGAAGAACTGCGTCGGCAAAGAGCTCTCCAAGATCCCCATGCCGGTGAGAGCACTGTCCCGGGATAGAGCTGCAGCAAAACACAAAGGAAAGGCAGCAAACTCAATTAAAAACGTTAAAAAAAGACTGAGGACAGGTGTAGGTCCTCGGGCTCTGTGAATAGAAGTGATTTTAATTTTTTTTTATATTGTGAAGGTACATTTTGAAATTTTTCTTGAAACAAAATGTGTTTATTGTTTAGATTTATCCAAAACTTGATCAAAACCGAAAGATTTAAGAAGAAAAAAAGTTCAGGATGACAAGGGACACTAAAATCCCCACAAAATCCGACCTTTATGAAAGCTGTAGGTTCTCTGTCAGGTTCTCTGTCAGCTGAGGTTGAGCTGTTTTAATATGCATTGAGTTCTATGGGGAAAATTTCTGGGTAGCCCGCGTGAATTTAGTCTGGTTCAGTCTGCAGTACCGCGAGAATCCCCTGAGCACATGAGTTATTCAGCTACACGCTAGTAATACCCTATCCAGTTAATATAATAGATCCATGGTAGTCACACCTATCTCCGCCGTTCTAATGGGCCAAAAACTGGGCTTTCATGGAGTGATTCAAAATGGCCGCGGGGGCTGGACAATGTGAAAAAACGCATCTACGCATGTGTCAGCTGCACGAGCCCCGTTCATTTAAACGAGTGACTTCAAAAATTCACAGAGAGTAAACTAGACTGGTCCAGAACACTCCCTCAGCATTGACACACATGTGGAACGGAGCTTTGGGCCAAGAGCCACTTTTGGACCATCCTGTAAAGACGTTTTTGAGAGGTAAGAAGATGCTATATGTCAGCAATGAATAATTCTTATTCCGGGTCCACCCCCATCGGCCCGGGGTGGTATTGCAGCATGTCAGCGTACGTCATTTTGGCCACTTTTGAGCCGGGACCCGCCCCCACCTGTTTAAGCACATTGTTTTATATTGAACTATTTACAGTGCCTTGCGAAAGTATTCGGCCCCCTTGAACCTTTCAACATTTCGCCACATTTCAGGCTTCAAACATAAAGATATAAAATTTTAATTTTTTGTCATGAATCAACAACAAGTGGGACACAATCGTGAAGTGGAACAAAATGTATTGGATAATTTAAACTTTTTTTAACAAATAAAAAACTGAAAAGTGGGGCGTGCAATATTATTCGGCCCCTTTACTTTCAGTGCAGCAAACTCAGTCCAGAAGTTCAGTGAGGATCTTTGGATGATCCAATGTTGTCCTAAATGACTGATGATGATAAATAGAATGCTCCTGTGTGTAATCAAGTCTCCGTATAAATGCACCTGCTCTTTGATAGTCTCAGGGTTCTGTTTAAAGCGCAGAGAGAACCATGAAGACAAAGGAACACTCCAGGCAGGTCCGAGATACTGTTGTGGAGAAGTTTAAAGCCGGATTTGGATACAAAAAGATTTCCCAAGCTTTAAACATCTCAAGGAGCACTGTGCAAGCAATTATATTGAAATGGAAGGAGTATCAGACCACTGCAAATCTACCAAGACCCGGCCGTCCCTCCAAACTTTCATCTCAAACAAGGAGAAGACTGATCAGAGATGCAGCCAAGAGGCCCATGATCACTCTGGATGAACTGCAGATAACTACAGCTGAGGTGGGAGAGTCTGTCCATAGGACAACAATCAGTTGTGCACTGCACAAATCTGGCCTTTATGGAAGAGTGGCAAGAAGAAAGCCATTTCTCAAAGATATCCATAAAAAGTCTTGTTTAAAGTTTGCCACAAGCCACCTGGGAGACACACCAAACATGTGGAAGAAGGTGCTCTGGTCAGATGAAACGAAAATGATCCAAATCTACAATGGAATGGTTCGCAAATAGACGTATCCAGGTGTTAGAATGGCCAAGTCAAAGTCCAGACCTGAATCCAATCGAGAATCTGTGGAAAGAGCTGAAGACTGCTGTTCACAAACGCTCTCCATCCAACCTCACTGAGCTCGAGCTGTTTTGCAAGGAAGAATGGGCAAGAATTCCAGTCTCTCGATGTGCAAAACTGATAGAGACATACCCCAAGCGACTTGCAGCTGTAATTGCAGCAAAAGGTGGCGCTACAAAGTATTAGCGCAAGGGGCCGAATAATATTGCACGCTCCACTTTTCAGTTTTTTATTTCTTGAAAAAGTTTGAATTATCCAATACATTTTGTTCCACTTCACGATTGTGTCCCACTTGTTGTTGACAAAAAATATTTTTTTTATATCTTTATGTTTGAAGCCTGAAATGTGGCGAAATGTTGAAAGGTTCAAGGGGACCGAATACTTTTGCAAGGCACTGTAACTTCTAATGTGTTGGGTTAACATTTTAGAATAAATCAAATGTTGTTTTCCTAACATAGATGACGTAGACCATGGCTTGGTAAACAATAATCAACGCTGCGTGTTATTAATGATCATTTCAGGGGCCACTAATAATGGTCTTGAAGGCTTGAAAGTTCTAATGGTTTTAATTTCTTGTGTGATTTTAATGTTTTAATTGTGATTCTGGTGTTTGTTTTATGTGATGATTTGTGCCTTGGGTGATGTGGAGTGTGAAGCGCTTTGTGTTGCCCTGTGTATGAAAGGTGCTCTACAAATAAACTTTGATTGATTGATTGAAGTCTGGATATGGTGAGCCTGAGTTCGACATGCTTGGTAGAAAGGGACAATTTTGCCGGAACTGCCCTCTGTTGTCAGCCCTCTCCTGTTTTTCCGGTCCTCTGCATTTTGCGCAGTGTGAATGAGGCTCACAGTGGTTGTGCTTCTCCAGGTGAACTTCAGCGAGCCCCTGTCCATGCTGCAGCGCCTCACAGAGGACCTGGAGTACAGTGAGCTGCTGGACCGGGCGGCTGCATGCGAGTCGTCCCTGGAGCAGATGGGTCTGGTGGCCGCCTTCTCCGTGTCGTCCTACTCCACCACAGCCCAGCGCTCGGCCAAACCGTTCAACCCTCTGCTGGGGGAGACCTACGAGCTGGACAGGCTGGAGGAGCACGGCTACCGCTCCGTCTGTGAGCAGGTCAGACGCCTGGAAGAACTTCAAACATGTTTTTCCTCTTGCACCACAATGGAACACAACATCACCTGAAGGACAGATACCTATTGTTTCTAGAATAGGATTTGGTTTTAAAAAATATATTTGATTTGTTCCCAAAGTGTCTCTTTACAAAAAAATAGGCAAAAAAATAATGAAAGCAGAATGAGAACAGGACTGAACAAGGACTAAAGCAGGATTGGAACAGCCCTAAGACAGGATCAAAGCGGGGTCTAAAGACGGTTTAAACAGGACTAAAGCAGGACTAAAGCAGGACTAAAGCCGGACTCAAGCAGGACTAAACAAGCAAATGCCAAACATAGAGTGTATATGTTTGGTTTTTGGTTCTTCTGTACCAGACATTTGTAGGTTAGCGATGTTGTTACCCGGACATCGCTAACTTACTATTGTCTGGAACAGAAGAACCAAATACTTTTAATTCTACTAAGAAGATGAATCTTCCTAAACCACTAGTTACTGTATATTTGGACTGAACTGGTGTGAAGGACAGATGTGAATGCAACCTGAGTCTATGATGACACACGGTGCACGGTGTGGGTAGCAGTGGCACTCATGCTTCAGCAGCCTGCTTGCTGGTGCGATTACTGTGTGGCTCGGCAGCATCACGGCCAAAGAAAAGAGATCTGAACAAAAGTGGTTCGTTCTGCTCGAAGGACTGTGAACTGTGAGAGGCTCTTTATGAGAGCAGAGTCTTAAACCGAGCCCTGAGGATTGTAAACGACTCCTCTGGGCATCCTGGAGCGGCCTTGTTCCAGCCTCTTCCCTCGGGTAGAAGATTCCGGTCTCTGCAGTGCAGGACCACCCGCCATGCTAATAGCTTCTTCCCTCAGGCGGTTATAAGACAGATCAGTAAGTGAGTAAGTAAGTAATCTTTATTTATACACCGCCTTTCACAGACCAGAGTCACAAAGCGGTTTACAATTGTTATTTTTTGGGCACTTGTCTCTCACTCCACACAGAGATGGGAGCGGGGTACAGGAGGCACATGCCAGACCTATTGTGCATGTTTTTAGTGGTAGGGGAAACCGGAGCACCCGGAGGAAACCTACGCAGACATGGGGAGAACATGAAAATTCCATTTAGAAAGGCTCTGTTCCGACCGGGATTCAAACCTAGGAACTTCTTGCTTCGTAGCTTCTTAATAATGCTTTTAAGAGTTTTATACGTGCCTCACTGTGTCTTGCCTCGCTATTTTTATTCTTTTTGTCTGTGTGTGCTTTGTGGTGTTGGTGCCCCGGGTGTCTCCTGTTTGGATTCCAATGTAGTTTTTTCTGCAAATGGTGATAAATTGATTTGGATTTGGATTCTGAAGATGGGTTTTTGGGTGCTGTACTAGAGCGACCTGACAGGTGGTCCTAGTGGCATTGGAAGGATGGGTCAAATGCAGCGGATACATATTCCTGGGGTACACTAAAGTATACCTAAACCTTAATGTGCTTCTCTGTGCTCAGGTCAGCCACCACCCTCCAGCCGCCGCTCATCATGTGGTCTCACAGAGAGGCTGGACCCTGTGGAAGGACATCACCATCGCCAGCAAGTTCAGAGGGAAATACCTGTCCATCATGCCCCTGGGTAAGGATCACCCCACTGCTGCCCCTGGGTAAGCATCAGCCCACTGCTGCCCCTGGGTAAGCATCAGCCCACTGCTGCCCCTGGGTAAGGATCACCCCACTGCTGCCCCTGGGTAAGGATCACCCCACTGCTGCCCCTGGGTAAGCATCAGCCCACTGCTGCCCCTGGGTAAGGATCACCCCACTGCTGCCCCTGGGTAAGGATCACCCCACTGCTGCCCCTGGGTAAGCATCAGCCCACTGCTGCCCCTGGGTAAGGATCACCCCACTGCTGCCCCTGGGTAAGGATCACCCCACTGCTGCCCCTGGGTAAGCATCAGCCCACTGCTGCCCCTGGGTAAGGATCACCCCACTGCTGCCCCTGGGTAAGCATCAGCCCACTGCTGCCCCTGGGTAAGGATCACCCCACTGCTGCCCCTGGGTAAGGATCACCCCACTGCTGCCCCTGGGTAAGCATCAGCCCACTGCTGCCCCTGGGTAAGGATCACCCCACTGCTGCCCCTGGGTAAGGATCACCCCACTGCTGCCCCTGGGTAAGCATCAGCCCACACCCCACTGCTGCCCCTGGGTAAGCTTCACCCCACTGCTGCCCCTGGGTAAGCATCAGCCCACACCCCACTGCTGCCCCTGGGTAAGCTTCACCCCACTGCTGCCCCTGGGTAAGCTTCACCCCACTGCTGCCCCTGGGTAAGGATCACCCCACTGCTGCCCCTGGGTAAGGATCACCCCACTGCTGCCCCTGGGTAAGCCTCACCCACTGCTGCCCCTGGGTAAGCTTCACCCCACTGCTGCCCCTGGGTAAGGATCACCCCACTGCTGCCCCTGGGTAAGGATCACCCCACTGCTGCCCCTGGGTAAGGATCACCCCACTGCTGCCCCTGGGTAAGCTTCACCTCACTGCTGCCCCTGGGTAAGCCTCACCCACTGCTGCCCCTGGGTAAGGATCACCCCACTGCTGCCCCTGGGTAAGGATCACCCACTGCTGCCCCTGGGTAAGCTTCATCCCACTGCTGCCCCTGGGTAAGGATCACCCCACTGCTGCCCCTGGGTAAGCTTCACCCCACTGCTGCCCCTGGGTAAGCCTCACCCACTGCTGCCCCTGGGTAAGGATCACCCCACTGCTGCCCCTGGGTAAGCATCAGCCCACTGCTGCCCCTGGGTAAGGATCACCCCACTGCTGCCCCTGGGTAAGGATCACCCCACTGCTGCCCCTGGGTAAGGATCACCCCACTGCTGCCCCTGGGTAAGGATCACCCCACTGCTGCCCCTGGGTAAGCATCAGCCCACTGCTGCCCCTGGGTAAGCTTCACCCCACTGCTGCCCCTGGGTAAGGATCACCCCACTGCTGCCCCTGGGTAAGCATCAGCCCACTGCTGCCCCTGGGTAAGGATCACCCCACTGCTGCCCCTGGGTAAGGATCACCCCACTGCTGCCCCTAGGTAAGCCTCACCCACTGCTGCCCCTGGGTAAGCTTCATCCCACTGCTGCCCCTGGGTAAGGATCACCCCACTGCTGCCCCTGGGTAAGCTTCACCCCACTGCTGCCCCTGGGTAAGCCTCACCCACTGCTGCCCCTGGGTAAGGATCACCCCACTGCTGCCCCTGGGTAAGCATCAGCCCACTGCTGCCCCTGGGTAAGGATCACCCCACTGCTGCCCCTGGGTAAGGATCACCCCACTGCTGCCCCTGGGTAAGCCTCACCCACTGCTGCCCCTGGGTAAGGATCACCCCACTGCTGCCCCTGGGTAAGCATCAGCCCACTGCTGCCCCTGGGTAAGGATCACCCCACTGCTGCCCCTGGGTAAGGATCACCCCACTGCTGCCCCTGGGTAAGCATCAGCCCACTGCTGCCCCTGGGTAAGGATCACCCCACTGCTGCCCCTGGGTAAGGATCACCCCACTGCTGCCCCTGGGTAAGCCTCACCCCACTGCTGCCCCTGGGTAAGCCTCACCCCACTGCTGCCCCTGGGTATGCCTCACCCACTGCTGCCCCTGGGTAAGGATCACCCCACTGCTGCCCCTGGGTAAGCCTCACCCCACTGCTGCCCCTGGGTAAGCCTCACCCCACTGCTGCCCCTGGGTAAGCCTCACCCACTGCTGCCCCTGGGTAAGGATCACCCCACTGCTGCCCCTGGGTAAGCCTCACCCCACTGCTGCCCCTGGGTAAGCCTCACCCACTGCTGCCCCTGGGTAAGCCTCACCCACTGCTGCTAGTCCAATCTAATCATTATATATGTGTACCGCCCAAAATCACAACAGCTTAAAGAACTTCACAGAAATCAAAGAACAAAAACAGGAAACACATTGAAGCCACTGGTCCAAAGGGAGCAAGATAACCAATGTCCGTGTGTGTGTGTGTGTGTGTGTGTCCGTGTGTGGGTGTGTGTGTGTGTGTGTGTGTGTTATAGGAGCCATCCACCTGAAGTTCCACTCGTCCGGGAACCACTACGTCTGGAGGAAAGTCACCTCCACCGTGCACAACATCATCGTGGGCAAACTCTGGATCGACCAGGTGTGACCCTCCAACACTCTGACACTGCCTTCACTTTTAAAGCACTAGAGAAAACCCAATCCACCTCCTACTCCAGTATGATTAGATCGATTTAAGATGCTTCCAAACTTGTGAGCCCCTTCAATCAAACCAAATCAAAATAACTTTATTAATCCGTGAGGAACTTCATTTACAGACGAAGCTCCGGTGGGGGTACACCAAAACACAGAAGCATCCGATCTAAGCTGAAATAACAATATAAAATACATAAAACAAGTCTCGGATCAGCTGTTTAAAATGCGAATTGAGGTGGGCAGGAAGCTGGATGTGGCCCTTTTAGTTTTGAATGGGAGGGACCTGAACCCACGCCCTGATGGGACCAGACTGTAGTGTGAGTGCAGAGTGTGGGAGCCTTTCCTTAAAACGTTGTTATTGTAGATGTCTGTGAGTGAGTCTTGCTGCTGTCCAATGATTTTGCTGCTGATTTTAATGATCTTTTTCAGTGAATTCCGATGTATGAGACTGAGTGAACCAAACCAAGCTTAGGACTGCACCCAGGACATCTACGGGAAGCTTATCGTCCACGTTGAGCTCTGTTGTTTTTGTTTCAGTCTGGAGACATTGGGATCGTGAACCACAGGACCAAGGACAGCTGCCAGCTCAAGTTCTCCCCCTACAGCTACTTCTCCAGAGACATCCCTCGGAAGGTACGCCGCTCCAATTGTCCGCAGCGCTAATAAAAAGGTAGGCTGAAGAGTGGCCATATCTGTGTGTGAAAGCTAGATCCAATCAGACCTCTGAAGTTAAGCAGGGCAGGATCTGGTTAGTGCTGTGATGGGAGACCTGCAAACACCATGGGCCAAACTGTCGCGGCCTATAGGGAAAGAGACTTCACCCACATTGACCCAGGGCACTTGTGTCTAGAGTATAGTTTATCACCACTATGTATAGAGTGAAGGAATGATGGCATGTAAAGCGTCTTTGAGTGTCCAAAAACTTTTTAAAGATTGTTTTAAAAGATGTTATGCCATATCTCCAGTTGTGAAATGCGTTTGTTGTGTGCAGGTGACAGGGGTGGTGTCCGACAGCTCAGGCCAGGCTCACTACATCCTCTCTGGGACCTGGGACGACCAGATGGAAAGTGCCAAGATCATCCAGAGCAGCAGGGGGAGCTCTGAGGGGAAGAACAAGACGCTGCTCCAGACACTGCCCCCTAAACTGCTGTGGAAGAAGTACCCTCTGCCGTAAGTCTGGCTGCATCGGAGAATTGCTCCTAATATGAGATCCATGCACTGTAGACTGACATCAGCTGTAACGCCACGTGCACAAAGCAGTATTACACACATTAAAAGAACATTGAAAACTAAACTCCTCTGCTCAGTTACCGTTTGTCTGTGGTCTAGTGCTCTCTATGATCATATTGAAACGCCTGCTTGCTCACTGTTAGCTTTAGCCTGAACTTTGAAGTGCATTTCTTTACATCACTTAATCACTGTTATCAGCAGAAATGGCCTCTAACCATCGGACCATGTGTTACTTACTGTACATGTTTGGAGAGCCAGAGAGTATTCTATGTCATATGTTCCAGCAACCACATGCTATGCCTCATTTAAAACGTGAGACTTTATGTGAAAAACATTTCTACTTACCTCCGTTCCGAGATATTACAAGCTAAAGGTGGCAAGTTTTCATAATAAATCCTTCTGGTTTCTCTTGAACTTGCCTCTTTTATGAAATACTGTATGTGCTGGTTGAGCTTGTCACTCTTATGAAACGTTTTGTGTAAAGACGTATCCATCCATCCATTTTCTTCCCCTTATTCCATTTCTGGGCCGGGGGGGTTTGGAAATTCAGAGCTGCACCCAGTCCACAGAGCACCAGCCCCTCACTGATCCTCCTGCAGGGGGTGAGTCCACAGGAGCCTTGAGCTTCAGGCAAAGTGGGTTTAAGTATCTTGCCCAAGGACACAACGACAGCAGTCATCAGAGGGAGTCGGTAGAGAAGGTCTTGTGGTGGGCTCGAACCCATGACCTTCAGGCTCAAAGGCCAATGCCTCTGTCGCCCCTGTAAAGAAGTATGTGTACGGAAAATATTACAGTTTATTTAAGCAGATAAATGGGCTGACTGAATGGCCAAAAAAACTGTTCTATGGTTGAGCTAGTGGTCAAACCTTCATGCTGCGTGAGAGCCTGAAGATGAGGCTGATGTTGGCCCCAGTTGAGCAGAGGTTGTTGCTGTGCAGGGAGGGCGCAGAGCAGATGTACCACTTCTCCAGTTTGGCGCTGACGCTGAACGAGCCAGAGGAGGGCATCGCTCCCACGGACAGCCGCCACCGACCCGACCAGCGGCTGATGGAGGAGGGACACTGGGACCAGGCCAACGCAGAGAAGCAGAGGCTGGAGGAGAAGCAGAGGGTTGTGAGGAGGAGGAGGGAGGCCGAGGAGAACCAGGCACTGAGCCGAGGTATCCATACATGACATACACGTCAAAACACACATACATACATTCAAATACATTAAAAAAATACATGTTTTTGTTGGGCATAATGTTATTTACACACAGAAATGAGCTGGTGACGTGACAGTGGCGATGATTCAGGACACACAACATTCAACAACATTTCTAGACTTTATAAATGGAGTTTTTTTTGTGTTGTTTTTTTTTGCATCTCTGGTGTTTTAACTGATTGATTCTCTGATCTGTGTTGGCAAATCGACGGCTTTGTAAAGTCCTCTGAGATACCTCTGTTGTGATTTAAGGCAATACAAAAATAAGTTCATTCAATTCCATTTATTCTTGTATAGCCCTAAATCACAATTCGCCAACACAGATCAGAGAATCCAACAGTTGACTCTCTACAGTCTATGACCATCACTCAAAGCACCTGTGCGTGTGCGTGTGTTTGCCTATGTGTGTGTGTGTGTGTGTGTGTGTGTGTATGTGTGTGTACAGGCCAGGAGCACGAGGGATACCAGCCGCAGTGGTTCACCCAGAGACGCTGCTCCATCACTGGGGAGATCAGCTACGTCTACAGCGGAGGATACTGGGAGTGTAAAGAGGAAGAGGACTGGAGCAGCTGCCCCAAGATCTTCTGACCCCGACACCCGTCAAACAATCTCCACAACTCTTCTGGGATTTAAGTGAACAGTTGGGACTTCTTTCAAGGATTTCATTCATGAGACATTTTTGGACTTATTATTAAACTTTCAATTCAGTATGAAAATGTTGTTGCTGAAAAAATCTAAAATGCGACTACAGTGGTCCCTTGTTTATTGCGGGGGTTAAGATCTAAAGAAAACACATAAGATAAAGTCACAATGTAGCAGCGATATGCTTGAAGGCTGTAAAACAGGGGGCTCCAACCATTTTCAATCAGAGAGCTACTTTTATACAACAGAAGAGGCAGAGAGAGAGCTACTCCTTTTTGCAGTCGTAATAAAAATTTGTGCAATAATTAAGATAAGATTGAACACACATGGAGAACACATGTAAATATAACATTATATTTTTTACTTATAATAGATATGTAACAACTCAAAATGTATTCATTCAGGACCATGTGTTCAATTCTAAATCCTGTGGGGAGCTACCTGAAAGGGGCTGGTGAGCTACTGGTGGCTCCCGAGCTATAGGTTGGAGACCCCTGCTGTAAAACCTCTCCCCACACAGTTTATTCAATATTCTATCCACCGGAACACACGCCTGCTGTAGTGCAATCACAGAGCTGTTTGGTGTAGGTCTGAGGGCTACTGCAGCTGTCAAAAGCCGTGCATGCTCAGTAGCAAACAGCTGCAGAGGACACCGCCCTCAGAGGCAGGAGCAGGACTGAGGACTACAGGAAGACCGCAGCAGTCCTCTTAACTAAGCAAGCAATTGTTTTCTTTGGATTTAAAATTAAGCTGTCATGCTCTATTAGCGGTTCTATGATGTTGTGACGATTGAAGGCATAGACCGACAGCTGGAGACGATCGTGCCGATGGATAACCTCAATAAAAGGTCTTTTTCATACAACAATAAAAAGTGGGCAGTTTGTGTAGACTTGGGTCGTCCTTCCTCCATCATCAACACAAACAAGAGGTTTCGTAGACGAGGGGAGGTCAAGCCTTAACACTGCAAATTTAAGACTCATATCCAACTCATTACACCACCATATATAAGGCATAGTAAACTGCCACAGCTGCCCTGGTGCAAACTGGTGGTCATGATGCTGCCAATCTGTGCCATCGGTCCCTCTCCACCAACGCCTCATCCAAGCATTTATTTATTCAGAAAAGCAGGAATTTTGACAATTCATCACACTGACAGAAAGTCTCAGCTCAGCAGGTGGAAGATCAAGTGCCTATTCATGATAAATAATAGAATAGTTTAATAGTCAGTGGGGGCGTGTCCCGGGCCGATGGGGTTGGGCCCGGAATAAGAGTTAGCCAATGCTAACATATAGCATTATATAGCATTAGCTGACCTTTGGAAAACGTCTTTACAGGATGGTCCAAAAGTCGCTCTTGGCCCAAAGCTCCGTTCCACATGTGTGTCAATGCTGAGTGTTCTGGACCAGTCTAGTTTAGTCGCTGTGAATTTTTGAAGTCACTCGTTTAAATGAACGGGGCTCGTGCAGCTGACTCATGCTCAGATGTGTTTTTTCCATAGACTGTATATATTAAAGGACAGAGTCACGCCTATCTCCGCCGTTCTAACTAATGGGCCAAAAAATGTGCTCTACTGGAGCTATCCAAAATGGCCACGAGTGGTCCCGCCCACAAGAAAATTGTGAAAAAACGCATCTGCGCATGCGTCAGCCGGCGCAGCTCCATTCATTTAAACGAGAGACTTCAAAAATTCACAGCAAGTAAACTAGAGTGGACCAAAAAATTCCACCCCCCTCAGCATTGACACACATGTGGAACGGAGCTTTGGGCCAACAGCCACTTTTGGACCATCCTGTAAAGACGTTTTCGAGAGGTCTGCCAATGCTATATGTTAGCATTGGCTAATTCTACTTCCGGGTCCACCCCCACAGGCCCGGGGTGGTATTGCAGCATGTCAGCGCACGTCATTTTGGCCACTTTTGAGCCGGGACCCGCCCACACTGGTTTTTTCACATTTTCCAGCCCCCGTGTCCATTTTGAATCACTCCATGAAAGCCCAATTTTTGGCCCGTTAGTTAGAACGGCGGAGATAGGCGTGACTACGTCTGTTAATATTTACAGTCTATGGTATTAGTCCACGATTCAACCATTGCTTCGTTTTCTTCCTTATTTTCTATTTTTATTTTTCTACAATAAAATGTTATAAAGTCAGATTTTAAATGTTTTGAATCCATGCTATTATTTCATGTTGAAAGTTATTTTTTTTGTTTAACTTGAATTAACATGTTTCCTTATGACCTAGAATATAAGACATTTTCTTTTTATATTAAGACCAAAATGGACCGTTTTTTTTCACTCCTCAATCAGTGCGTCCGATTTGCTCAATCAAACTAAATTCATCAGATATTCATCGTTTTTTATAAACTCACTGACAACAACCAAAACCTTTTTAAAATACCAGAAACACCATGAGACAGGGCAAAATATTTGACTTTATTCATTTATCGGTTTATCTGGATGAGACAGTGTTAGAAAGGGCCGACACAAGCCGAGGGCCAACACAAGCCGAGGGCCAACACATCAGAGGGCCAACGCAAGCCAAGGGCCGGACTGTTTCAATGTTTATTAAAACATATGTCACGGGGTGGGATGATGGAGGACTCAAATGCAGCAATGCAAAAAATAATGATTTAATAAAATAAAAGTCCAGGTGAAAACTAAACTCAAAATCCAAGAATACGGAACCAGGAACAGAGGCAGAACTTGACACGACTAAACAGGACATTGATATAACAATGGACCAGCAACATGTGGAGAGGGGCACAGGTGAACTCAAACTCAAACTCAAAACCAAACCACAGAGAAACAAAGTCAAAATAAAACCAAAGCACAAAAATAAAAGCCACACCATGACATATTAAAACTATTGCCTATAATCATTTGATGCCTATTTAACCAAAACCAAACAGTGTACTGAATAATTCAATATTTTTGTAGCTCTGTTAGTAATTTCAAGTGAAAACATTTTTCAACAGGCTCACAGACAAAAACAAAAGTCCTCAACATTAAATAAATAATCCTATGTTTTCTTGTGGCTCTGTGCGGGCCGGTTCCAATACTTGTCCAATATCATCCCGGGGCCAAGATAATTCATTCGGGCCCTGACTTTGACACCCATGTGTTAGATGGACCTCAGTGCATGTTTTCTAGTGGTAAGGGAAACCGGAGCACCCAGAGGAAAACCTATGCAGACACGGGGAGAATATGCAAATGTTTTATCTGTTGAGTGATACAATACTTTACACATAGAATAATACATTTGTACTTTGTAGTGAGACTGAGACTAAATGTATAAAATGAGTCCGTTTTATGACGGACTCATTAAATGATGTTTTCCATGACTTTTAGGTTTTGCCGTGTGTTTGACTGACCACTCTGAATCTGTGTGAGACTTTAAAACCGTCAAATAAAATGATTAGTTTAGCACTGTATGGTTTAGTCTTCATTGTTTTGTTTTCAGACAGACCCAACGCTGAACTCACAGGTTCACCGTGCAACTTTTCTGGAGGATAAACATGGACAATATTTCATGACTGCTCAAAAACGTTCTTACAGTGAGCTCTTTGTAGATTTGACCAGTAACACTCTAATGCTGTACCATGTAACATTTATAACATCCAGCCCTGTGTCAAGTCAGGGCGAGGGGAGCGTGAGCGCCCTCTGCTGCTCTTGTCCCGCACAGGGCTGTTTGAGCGTCTCCATGGAAACCAGCTCAGGCCTGTGTTTGAAGGCAGCAGGAGACGGCAGCAGCGCAGACCCCACAGTAAGTGCAAAGATGTAGACAACAGGACTTTAGAGTAGAACTTTGGGTTGGAGTTTAGCTATAAACATATGTGTGTTTTCTGCAAAAGGTGCCAGAGCAAAAACCCTTCAGCCTCATGTACCAGATGTGGTCAGTAAACTTTGTTCTTTGGCAGACGATAATTTCACCTCTTCACAAGTTTGTTTCTGCGGTGCTGACTAACATGATACATATGTTCCTGTATATTTATCTAGTACATATAGTTGTTATTGCACACACAAGTCTGGGACCCCTACTGCAATCTGCATACTTTTAAAAGTGTTTTTGCCTGTAGTTTTAAACTTCATGATCTTCAACATTTTACTTATTCTACAAACAGAGTGCTACATTTCTTTAAAACTGCAATTTTAACACTTTTAATAAAGTCTAGGAGAGATGGTTAAAAGATGTTAGGCAACTTAGGACAGATTTTGTAAAACAATTGGGGAGGTCAAAAGAAGGAGAGATGTGCATTTACCGAACAAGAAGTATGTTATAGAAATAGTTAATATTGTGAAGACAATAAAAAGTGAATTATTAAAGAAAACTGCAATTTCAAGAATTTCTTTGTAAAAACTGCAACAATGAGAAGATATGAACAATGTGTATTAATGAACAGCAGTGTTATAAATACTCCAGACTGTAGCCTTGGGCTAATTTCACTCTGAACTATTGTACATGTTTTTAGTGGTAGGGAAAACCAGAGCACCTGGAGGAAACTTAAGCAGACATGGGGAGAGCGTGCAGACTTCCCACAGAAAGGCCCTGTGCCATACGAGGATCAGTCCCAGGACCTTCTTTCTGTGAAACACACATGTGCTAACCACTGCCCCACTGTGTCGCCTGAACAGTTGTTCTGTAGGTTTTCTGAGGTGGGCGTCCCACAGCAAAGACTGAAACTATTGATCCTAGGGCCTCCGACAGACCACTGTGATGGGAGGTAAAGGGTCCACTAACCACTCATAGCGCTGCCAGATCAGGGTCAAATGTGCAAAAATATATACACTTTTTTCACAAATTGTATAATGCACCTTCAAAGGCTCAGGTTGTGGTTGTCCAGAGTTCTCTGTGTGCAGGCTGTAGTTCTATGATGTAAATATGTTCCTAACAGACCAAAACTATCGCCACAATCATAAATCCACAACCAAGACATGTTATTTTCTGCACTCGTTAGTGTTTCCAAAGGGGACGTGAAGGCTTAGAATTTACTACGTCTGCAGTGTTTGTGCTGCTAAAGGCCTACGCTGTGGTGGTCTCCGGGACGACCCCCCTCCCCCATGTGTTTACTGTCCCCTGGCTCTTGTCTGTCTGCAGGACATGTCTGAGTCCCAGAGGCGGCTTTTCTCTGGTGAGTGTTGTGTCTCTATGAATGTGTCTGTTTTGTTAATTGCACTTGTTCAATCTTAATATTGACATGATATTGTCAGAGGTGAACATGGTCACAGCGGACCACTGTGATCTCCTGCTCGACGCCATGGACAAAGAACTGGACCAACTGCAGGTATTACACAAAGGTCCAAATGTTAAATACTATACAAAAGTTCTTGCTTGAAACAAGTAATGATTAAGATTTACATATTGACTAGGAATAGTGAAACATGTGAGATAAGTAGAACTAGAACTAACACGGTATGATGTGGTGTGTGCAGATCCACCCGCGGCAAAGACTCAGAGACAGTGTGTGCAGAGGGACAGGTAAGAAGCCTGTGAAGGGAAGAATTGTCGTATTCCAATGTCTATGGTTCCAATGTTTGATTGATGACAAAATAGGATTAAATATCTACATAACACACAGAGTAAATAAATAACCTATTAAACAAGTACGCAATGACAAAAGCAAAGGTGTAATCTAAACTACAGAAGTTACTTAACTGAAGTACCAGCACAAGTGACAGAATACAGACAAAACTAAATGGCGAACTGGAGTCCACGCGGAAGATTGGCAGCTTATGAGGGCGGGTCCTCCAGGAGACACCACGGGAGAAACTAAAGTGATCCCCAAAATAGGGAATTGCGGGCCGTGGGGATTGTAACTTCCACTGATGATCAAGTTTACGATTTAAAGTAACTATTTCTAACTAAGAACTGTCTGTACTTAATTCAAATTATGAACAAAATGACCCAAGATGCAGTCTGGGATAGTGTCACAGCAGATAACTTTCTCGATGGTAAAAAGACATGCCCAGAGTTTTGCAGTGTGCATGTGATTCTAAACCAGACAGATCAAGGACACTGCTCTCAGCTTCTGCCACGGCGCCAATAATTATGTTAGCTTCAACCTTCAGAAAATCAAAACATCACTGACTTCTGCAGACTTTCGTAATGACAGGTCCGGCTTTAACCATAGTTGCATCAAAAGTGTCATAAAAGATCCACCTCCTCAAAATGTATATAGTAACTTCCCAGCTCTGCTCCTAGTGTCCTGTGGCCGGCCCCAGTCTGAGAGCCAGGACACGGGTGTGGGCAGCACTGAGGGGCCCCTGTGTGGTCCGGATCTCCAGGGCCCAGCGGAGACCAGGCCAGGTTTGTTTGTGGTTATTAGAATCCCCATTAGCATGTGCCTGATAATGCTCAACTGTGTTTGTTAGGAGATGTCTCTTTTTCACCAAATGTTTCGAAAGCTAAAACAGTTGGCTTGAACAGGTTTTATATTGGCTGCTAGAGTCATCCTACGGAAATGAAAAAGTCTGGACTGTCCGACTCACAGGGAGTGGGTTGTGTCAATGACGGATACTGCATCGTTTGAACTGTAAAAAATCTTACTTTTGTACCTGGGTGGCTTTAATTTCCTCTTTGAAATAGTAATTGTGTGCTGTAATATTTTTGTGATTTATTCGTACAAATCTTTTCTATCTGTGCTGTATCTGTTTGTGTTATTGTTAAAAAACACAATAAAATGCAAATTACAAAAAAAAAGAATCCCCATTAGCTACTGTCATAGAAATATTTTAGTAAATCAACCTGAATTAACACCAAATAGTTATGAGTGTAAGTTATTAACTCTGGATTCAGATACAGGCCATAATGCTCTGTTGGCTCAGGTCAGTGATAGATGGAGACGTGCTGCATCATGTCTTTGACCTGGGTCATAGAACAATATGTTCAGTTCAAAAGCAGATTGTTACATATATCAGAGTTGTATCAGCGTTAGGACGCGTAAAGAGAAGCCTTGAGCAACACATATCAATGTTGACTTCATCTATGTAATATCTAGAGTAGTTTGTTTACTCTGGTCTATTTAATGTCCATCATTTCCTCATTCGTGGAAGTTGGTTTCAGACGGCTGCAGGTGGTATTGGTATCGGTTCTGTTATTCATTGTAATTGTGCACATTTACTAATGAATAAACTCACACTTTGATTGTAATTACAGCTCTGGGTTGTTTACATTATCTTACTCTCGGTATGTGCAGAATTTCCACAACACTACTGAAACACACAGTAGGTCAGGCACAACAACTGACTTTTTACCGATAATTTGGCCTGTGTTGCTCCTGACTTCAGCTCAGTGTGGATGATGCCTAATACACGAGAAGAATATTAGTATAAAGTAATAGGTGTAAAATACAATTGAAATACATGCTGGAAATTATCATTAAGCATTAGCATTATTACCAAAAATAATCTTTTTGTATTCCTAGTCTGATAAGCCTCTGCTATATATAAAAAGGTTAACAAGCCTGACAAACCATTTCAGTTCATTCTCTCGCCTTTGTATCATAATCGTAAAGCCCAATATCTGCCATTGACATGCTAGCTGCTATCCCTCCTCCCCATCCTTCAGGAGTCATTGACCATAGACTCCGGGGGGACATAGATTACACATCACATCTCCTCACGTATGTTCCTCCGAGGACTTATGGCTCCTTCACCGAGGTCTAAACACACAAAACACCAAAATTAGCCCAAAAAATATAGTGTGTATTATCCTGTCTTGTGTCTGTTCATTCAAAACACAACCTGTAGTATGTGTCCTTCCCAGATGATGGTGTGAAGAGCAGAGACAGATTCAGTGCAGTGCAGCAGTCTCACCATGAGGAGGCGCTGTGGAGGCTGCGGAGGCTCCTGGGGGACTCCTGTGGGAACGCAGACACAGGCTCCAGGCTCCCCCCCTCGGACAGCATCTGTACGGAGGAGTTTGCCCAGCGCTTCAGGCAGGAGATGGTCCATGAGCCGGTCCCACTCAGGCCCAAAGAAGCCTGTTCCCCAAAACAACTCGCTCACGGAGGTCCCAGTGAGTGTTGCGCTCTGTTATTATATCACAATATTATATTAGTATATTATATACAAAGGGGAGGGGCTTAAAGTTAGGTTTGGCCTCTGACCCAACTCTAGAAAGTGTATTGTGAATGCAGATGCTGATTGGCTGGTGCAAGTGGCCAAACCATAGAAAGACACACAGTCTGTTTGCCTGGCCTTATCCATCCGTACACTCCGCTCAATCATCTCACTGCATGTAACGTCTGGGTCTGGTCCCTGTGTTCGCGATTACAATCGGTTGAATTTCGACCGACCAATCGAGGCGGACAACACCCCGGGAGGCGGGTGTTGTAGTTAGTTGTGGGTGATGTCAAGAGTTTGCGCCGAACAGGCAGGTTGTAGTTTGGCAATGGTGAAAAATGTGATAGTAAAG